AAAAAGAAAAAAAGAAAGGAAAAAAACACCACAGGCTTTCCCTCAGGCCAATATGATGGGGGCATTTTCTCAATTGAGATCCCTTCTTCCCAAATTCCAGGCCAGCCAGAGAGCTACATAGGGAGACCCGTCTCAGAAACCAACCAAAAACCAAAAAAAAAAAAAAAAAAAAAAATGGAAATGAAAGGCAAAGGGGCTGGAGATCTCCTGAGTGCATGTACCAACATGCCAAGCGAACTTGGTTTTTTATTTGCTTCACAATGTTGCCAAAGTTAACAACTATTTTTTACCTCTAATACAGCATTCAAAAACATGAAATATTTAAGACTTTATTATAAAATATACTTTGTGCTACATAATTTTTCTGAATTTAAGATAGGCTAAGCTAAGCATGTTTCACAAATAAACTGTGTTATGTGCATTTTTGGCTTATGATATTTAAGAACAACATCCAACATTTGGCAAACTGAAGGGAATCAGGCTACACGGTTTCTTCAGATTCTAATCCTGTGTGGGCAGTTTGCCTGCATATATGTGTACCACATCCATGCCTAGTGCCTGTGGAGACTAGAAAGCTCCAGACTCCCCAGAACTGGAGTTACAGATGCTTGTGAACACCATGTGGTGCTGGGAATTGAACCCAGGTCCTCTGGAAGAGCAGCCAGTGCTCCTAACTGCTGAGCCATCTCTCCAGCTCTGTTTTGGTTGTTGTTTTAACTTTATATGTTTCGCCTACATGTATGTGCACCACATGTATGCCTGGTTTTGCCTGTGGAGGTCAGAAGAGGGGTCAGAGTCCCTAGATCAGGAGTTGGGGACAGTTGTGAACCCCCTTCCCCCTCCCCCAACACATATACAGAAACACAAACAAAACCGAGCCAAGGACGACGACGACGACGACGACGACGACGACGACGACGACAGGGACAAAAACCAAGAAGCAGGCTAAAGAGCAGAGGGAGTCAGGACCCTCCGAGAGTGGGCCCGGACCCAGGGGTGAGCAGCGACTTGGGCCAGGGGCAGCCGGTCTGAGGGGTTATGCTTGAGCAGCTTGGAGATGAGGTCCTGGGCGCCCTCAGGCACAGAAGCGGGGAACTTCAGGTCCACCTGCAGGTAAGGGAGAAAGGTTTCGTCTGTGTTACCCTGACTAGATCTTCCTTGACTACTCATTCGATCAAGAGATTTTTGCAACCCCCAGAGGAGGCATTATTGACAATGGATGGCTGCTGGGGAAAGGAAGTCATTTTTGTTCGGGGTGTGGGTACAGGGAGTTGCTAGGGCTCATGCAGGCAGCAGTAGCTGGTCTCGGGGGGCTATAAAAAGAAAGAGGACATGAAGGTGGGTGGGGCAGGTGTGGGGGGTAGATCTGCTCAAGAAACATTGTATATATGTACGAAATTGTCTGAGAATAAATATCAAGTGTTTACAAAACAGGGAGACTTTGAAGAACCCTATAAATCCACTCTGCCCACCCCAGACCCGGCTTGCACAGTACACAGAGCCCAGGCAGGTGTCCTACCTTGACAATGCGACGGTATGTCTCACTGTGGCTAGGGCTCTCGAAGGGTGGGTTCCCCACCATCAGCTCATAGCAGAGCACCCCGATGCACCATAGATCTACCATTTCGTTATGCATGCGCCCCTCAATCATCTCTGGGGGCAGATAGTCCAGGGTGCCACACATGGTCTTCCTCCTGGTGGGATGAGGGAAGTGGGTAGGGTCCCCAAAATCAGCTTCTCTTTTCTCTTTACTTGACAATAGGCAGCCCAGAGACCCAGGATGCACTGGGGATGGGAGGGGAGTTGTCCATCTAAGTCAGACTGAGCATCTGGAGTAGGATGTAGTAATGATATAAGCCACAGAGTCAGAGATGGCCACACTAATGGATATCTTAATCTTTCTTTTTTGCTTTTTGAGACAGCATTTCTCTGTGTAGCCCTGGCTATCCTGGAACTCACTCTGTAGATCAGGCTGGCCTCAAACTCAGAGATCTGCCTGCCTCCTGAGTACTGGGATTAAAGGCATGTGCCACCACTGCCCGGCTATCTTAATCTCAATAAATAAAAAAATAATCATAGATGAGGAATATGCTCATTTCAAAGACAAAACAGAAATAATCTCTGATACCCACTAAGCATACACTACTTAAATAAGTCAGATTATATTTTTACTGTGCAATACTGTGAATCTCTACAATGATGGGGTCACCGGATACTGTGATATACACTCCTAATCCCAGTACTTGGTAAGACGTTTTGTTTTGTTTCTTTTGAGACAGGGTCTCTTTATAATATAATCTTGGCGGACCTGGAACTCACTAGGTAGGCCAGACCAGCCTTGACCTCAGAGAGATGCACCTACCATTGCCTCCCTAGGGCTGGATTGAAAGGTATGAACCACTATACTTAGCTTAATCCCAGCATTTGGGCAGCTGAGGTCACCTTGGGCTACAGGGTAAAATCTTGTCTAAAAACTGGGAAGAGGTGGGCTGCTGGAGAGATGGCTCCGCAGTTAAGAGCACTGACTGCAGGACCCGGGTTCAATTCCCAGCACCCACATGGCAGCCCACAGCTGCCTATAAGTCCAAGATCTGACACCCTCACACAGATATACATGCAGACAAAACACCAACGCACATAAATAAATTATTAAAAAATGCTTATAAAAAGAGAAAAAAAAAAAAAAAAAGACTGGGAGGGAAGAGGCCAGGCAGCAGCCGTGGCCCACGCCCTTAACCCCAACACTCAGGAGGCAGAGGCAGGTGGATCTCTGTGAGTTTGAGGCCAGCCTGGTCTACAGAGTAAGTTCCAGGACAGCCAGGGGGACACAGAGAAACCCTGTCTCCAAAAACAAAACAAGTTCAAAAACTGGGAAGCGGTTTTGAGGGATGTGTCTCAGGGAGAGAGCATGTGTCTGGCACAGGCAATGCCCTGGGTTCCATCCTCAACACTGTGAAACCAAACAAAACCAAATAAAATGTGACGTGGGTAACCAGGCATGGCAGCGTGGGCCCGCAATACCAGACAAGCATTTGTGCCTGCGCCTTTAAGGACAGTCTGGGCAACACAGTGAGACCGTATCTCCTTAAAGTGAGATTGGCAGGGGTTAACTTGACATGGTGATACATACCTGTAATCCTACTATGTTTAGAGGTAAAGGCAAAGATGATTGGAAATTTACGGTTATCTTTGGCTATATAATGACTTCGAAGCCATTCTGTGCTACATTGGACCCTGTCTCAATCAACCAATCAGTACTGTGGAGGATTTCACAATGCTGTAAGAGCAGGCCCACTCTATTTAATAGAAAATGAGCAGAAAATTCAGGGCAGGAAAGACTGGGTCACCTATTTCCGTAAAGATATCGCTATGTCTATATTACATGGAGATAAACCCCATTCTGAGGAACAAGACACAGGAGAGTTTTATACAGAATGCCACAGCCTCACACCAGGGACAGCCCCCCAGCCCCACCGTACCTCAGGGAAGGGGCGTGCACAGACCAGCCGAAGTCCGCAATCTTCAGCTCCCCCTGGAGACCTAACAGCAGGTTCTCGGGTTTTATGTCTCTGTGAATCACCTTCTTCTTGTGGCAGTACATCAGCGCGTCCGACAGTTCCTCCATGATCTGCGAGGGTCCACAACACAAGGTCAACCGGGCCTTCACTTCCAGCCCCAGCCTCCAACCCCACACCGGGTCCGGACCGTGGCTGTCCGCTGCTCATCGAAAGTCCGGTTCTTCTGTAGTTCCTTGTACAGCTCTCCCCTCGGGGCATATTCCAGGATCAAGTAGATCCTCCGGCGGTCATAGAAGTAGTTGTAGAGCCGAAGAATGTTGGGATGTCTGGGGCAAAGAGAAAGAAAGGAAGCTTCGGCTCGCATCTAGGAGACGGGACAGATGGCAGAGACCTAGATCGGGGTGGGAGCAGTAAGGGTGGGTGGTCCAGGTGGACTAAGACGGGGCTGGGATTGCAGACGGGGCTGGGATTGCAGAAGTGAGGCGATCAGGTGGGCAGAGGGGCCCGGGGCGGGGCGGGGCCGCATACTGCAGGTGTGCCTGGATTTCGATCTCCCGGCGCAGCTGGTGTTCCACGCCCTCCTTCTCAATCTGAGACTTGAAGAGGATCTTGAGGGCCACAATGAAGTGGCTTTTCTTCTCCCGAGCCAAGTACACATTTCCAAATTTGCCTTTGCCCAGAGGACGTCCGATCTCAAAGTCATCAATAGTGAGGGACCGCCTGATTAGAAAAGGGGGGGAAAGGGAGCTAGCTCAGCGCTGGCTGCCTTAGACTCCCAAGGTGTTCGGTTTCTCTTCCTCAGCCCTCTGCATTTCTCTCTATTCCTACCCCCCTTAGCGCCCCCATTTCGGCCTGACCCCCGCTGAAGCCCCCCTACCTGCTCTGGGGTACTTACAAGGCAGTGGGGCCCCGACTGACATTTTCAGCCAACTTCTGGCCAGGGGCAGCTGAAGAGAGAGCAGGCATGTTGAGTTCCTCCTTTGACCTTGTCCCCTTGCACCCTCCCTTAGGTTCTCGTCCCTTGGCCAGTCCTCTGCCCACTGTCCCAGGTACCTGTGGACTGGACATTGGACCGGTTCATGAGGGCCAGTGCAGGGGTCCCAGCAGGCTCCTTCCGCAGGACTCTCTGGGGCAGGGTGTTCAGGCCCGAATGAGACTGAGAAGCAAAGGGTGGGTCTGAGCGTGTCCCTGTCCCTGTGGCCTAGCCGGAATGTGCTACAAGCATCATGTCAGCTACCTGTTACAGGACCCCCCGCCACTCACAATTCAAAGAACGACAGTGACACACCATGGTTTGGCCACCTCGCCCCAAAGGGCTGCTCAGTGTTCCACAAGAAGCGGGTTATTAAGAAACAACTTCAGAGCTCAGTGTGCTGGACCACATCGGAAACCCCAGCACTTAGGAGATGGAGGCTCCTGGTCAGGAGTTCAAGACCATCCTCAACAGTCAGCTCAAGTCCAGTCTGAGCCAAATAAGACCTTGTTTTAACATCACCCTCCCCACCCCACCCCCCAAAAAAAACCCAACCAACCAACCAACCAAACAAACAAACAAACAAAAAACAGCCAAGTAAATGAGTGAATGAAAAGACAACCCAAGACAAGGGGAAAAGATTCACTCTGACAGCTAACAATCCACCTGGCCCACCTTCTCAAGCCTGGCACCGTCCAAACTGGATAGCTCTACACACATCACCACATTCATCCAGGCTTGCATAAGAGCCTGAGCTCATGAAGCCGCAACACCAGAATTTAATCCTTTATAATAACAGACCAGAGGGATACTGACAACCTTGGGCCACTTCTTCATTTTCAAACTTGTCTCAGTTTTCTTTGGTAGTGACCAAGGTACATGGAACAGTGGTGTCTCATTCAGACTCCACTTCGTCAGTTTTACCCAGTGCTCCAAGCGGGAAGAAGCTGGGACAAGGGAGCCGATGGACTGTCCAGGATGCCCAGGTCCCACCAACAGGGAACAGACTGTGGAGGAGGGCACAGGGTCCCGGAATTTTGCCACGCTCATTACAGGTGTGCAGCATCGTGCTTACTAGCTCATTTCTTCAGCCAAGAGAAGGTCCCCGTGTGCCTACAAACCTCCCACAATGATACCAGGATAGATTGGCCCACGTGTTAATACACACACACACACACACACACAATTTCAAATCTATTTGGATCCTTAGTTCCAACCACTCATTAAGATAAATCCCAGGCTGGAGTGTAGCTCCATGGTACCTCAAAAACGCGAGGCTCTGGGTTTGATATCCAGCCTCACAAACGTTTAGACCATCCTGGGCCTTTGACACGGTAACTTTCTATTCTATTCTAATTTCCGTGCCGTTAATTTTTTCACACTAGAGGGTGGGATTCATGGTCTGAAAGCACAGCGCTGCGGCTCGCTCGGTCCCCGTTATTATCGATCTGTGACAGGCAGGCTCAGCTCTGCAGAAGCCCTGACTCAGGTCGGCCACCTCGCAAACCACAAGGCTGCAAGCGATCAGACGGGGCTCTGCCAGCCAACTCCCGGGGAACCCGTCGGAAGCGCTCAGAGGACGGACATCCGCAGGGCCCGACACCGGACTCCAAGGGCCGGCCTTCCGGGAGGTGGGGCGAGAGTGCGGCCAGGACCTTACCGTCTGCGAGCCGTAGGGCCACGGGTAGGCGTTCTCCTTCTGGGCCATTCTCAAAAGCAAGAGGCGCAGGAGCGCGGGGCGGCGAGGGAGACGGCGGCCAGCGAGGCGGGAGGGGCAGAGGCCGATCTGCGGGGAGCGCGAGCCTAGGCGGGCGGAGGGAAGCGAATCGGCACGCGGGCCGAGGTCGGGGCGCACCCCCGCGCCCCTCTCCGCACCCCTCCCTTTAGGAGCCCGACCCCGTGGGTCACCACCTGCGCCCTCCGGAGCCCACGATCCCCACTCGGCGCCTGCTGGGCGGAGGAACTGCCCCGCAGCTCCGTGACCCCGATACGTTCAAATCTCCCGCTCTGAGCCCATTGGCTGAGCTGCACCCAGACCCACTCTCATTGGCTACGGTTCTTGTGACGTAACTGGTTGAGATGCCAAAAAAAAAAAAGGTGCGGCTTAAGAGGCATTTAAAATTAAAAAAATTAAAAATTAAAATATATATATATTAGATATATTAAAAAAGAGACTCGTTTCTCTAGGTTGAGGCTGTGTCCCAAGATCCTCACACTTTTGTTTTCTCGCTGATAAAAAAAAAAAAAAAAAACTCAATATTTAAACTGGGCAGCGGTGGTCCACGCCTTTAATCCCCAGCACTCAGGAGGTAGAGACGGGGATCCGAGAGTTCGAGGCCAGCCTGGTCTACAGCGCGAGTTCCTGGACAGTCAGGGCTACACAGACAAAAACCCTGTCTGGAGGAGGGGTGGGGGAGGATTTAAAGCGGGTATAGAACGCTGTCTCAAAAACACAACAACAATAATAATAATGATAATAATAATAATAATATAACCGAGTTCTCTGTGTGTGTGTGTGTGTGTGTGTGTGTGTGTGTGTGTGTGTGTGTGTGTGTAAAACCTTTATTTTCTGCCAGATGGAGAGGGACTAATGCCAACACCTTGGGTTAAACTGGTTTACCTCGGGAGGCAGAGGCAGGCAGATCTCTGTGAGTTCGAGACCAGCCTGCTCCAGAAAGCGAGTTCCAGGACAACCAGGCCTACACAGAGAAGCCCTGTCTTGTATAAAAAACCCAAACCCAAACCAAACCAAACAAAAACTGTCTGGTTCGCAGGAGAATTTAAATGCTGCCCTGAATATAATCTCTGTGTGTCCTCTTTAAATATCCTTGGTGTATTGTCTGTAGACTGACCCATGAGATCCAAACCCAGAGCGCGCAGGTCCCGTACATAAACAGGCACAATACTGTACACGACACAGTATTTGCGTTGTTTGTAGTTCTTTCCGGCTCTGGCTAACCCCTAGCTCACCTAACCACCTAACGCTATGGAAATGCTGAGAAACAGTAGTCAGCTCTCTGTGAGGGAGCGTGATGCCGGGAGTCAATACAGACGCAATCTATTAAACGAGATGGGCGGATGCGTAGGTTAGACAGACAGACAAGCAGTTTGTTGAATCCATGGTTGCAGAATTCATGAATATGGATCTGTGTTTCTGGGCTCTCTATTCTCCTTGTCTGTTTTGTGTTTGGGTTTTGTTTGAGACAAAGTCTCTCTGTTCAGATCAGGTTGGCCTCCAAGTCACTCTGTAGCCCAGGCTGGCCTCGAACTTCTGGCCCCCTCACCACCGCTTCCCAAGCACTTGGATTACAAGCACACACTAGCAGTTCGTTTATTCCATCACTGTTTTCTTTTTAAACGCCCTCCAAGTTCCTAGAAAGCTTTTGGTGGTGGATCTTCCTGCCCTGCTTCCCAGATAGCTGTGGTGTGTGAACGCAGACCCAAAACCAGCACATTGTTTGGCTAGGCCCACTCTCCTGTGGATGTCTTGTTTATGCAGGATTACTATTTTGTTCTTAAAAGATCCTTTAATGTTTCTAACTCTAACATCAGGCTTGTAATTCCAGCACTCTGGAGCCTGAGGCAGGAGGATTGCCAGGAGTTCCAGGCTACACTATGAGCCATTTACTCAAAAAAAAAAAAAAAAAAAAAAAAAAAAGTAAATAAATAAGTTTTCAAATTCTATAAAGTAGCAGTTCCCACTGAGTAAACTCTTGATTTTCATTCCATCTCTTGAGTAATGGTAAATGTGGATTCTCCTGGGCAAGTGGCATTGAGGTGGCCATGAGGGGGCTGACATTTCACATGCCCGGGGAGGACCAGAACTGTTTGGAGGGCATGGCATCTGTTGTGCGGTGGTGTTCTGAGCCCAGAGTCCTCACCAGGAACCCCTGCCACACTGACAAAGGTGTTGCTTCTGGAGCAAAGACGTGCCAGGATATGAAGCCATGTCTATATGGGAAGACAGGCCTGTGTGTGTGTGTGTGTGTGTGTGTGTGTGTGTGTGTGTGTGTGTGGTGTGTGTGTGTGTGTGTG